CATCCCTCGGCGGGCCAGGCTTAGGCATCGGCGTGACAGACATGTTGCGAGTGCGCGTCGAGATTCATCGCTTTCCTCCGACAGGGCTAGCGTTACTTTTTTTTTTGTTTTAAACAGCGACCAGAAACCCTGAGTTCTCTTTGAGGAGGAAAGGGTATCACCGAGGACCTGCGCTGCGAGGCACCGATCGACCGTGACCCCGTTTCTCTCACCCTCGATGTGATGGAAGGGTCCGCGCTGCGGGGCCCGGTGCGGCTGAGGCCCCTTCCTCGTCCTGCTCCTCCTCCTCGGGCATCGGGCAGGCAGGAACGTCACCCCTGGGCTGGGAAGTGGGGCCAGTCAGCGCCTTCCTTCGAGGGGAATGGAAGTTTTAACCAAAACATGATGCAAAAAACTTGCTGTGTCTGTAAAAACCAGAGAGGAGACATTTTGAGAAGAGACAAACTTCTTTAACCACTCGTGTTAGGTTCAGTAAGTCAGCAATTTGAACAGACCTAACCATCTCTTTAAAATTCGAATTATGCAACTTGTGCGGGGAAAAATGGCAGTTTGTTCACAAAGCAAAAATGGGCGTGTGTCTCTGTTAGACTCTGGTGTGGTCCCTCCCTTACTGATGGAACATCGACCAAAGCCCTTAAGGTAACAATTTAAGTAAAATTGCTTGTATTTGGATGCAATTTCCACCCCCACAGCTACTACAATAAACCCAAAAGGGCTTACAATTCTATATTTAATACTATTCCAACATTATTATGGATTTTTAACCCACAGATGATTTGTTCTCCCACATGTGCCTGTACAGAGAGATTAGTTCATCGAAGTATTCAGAGCAACCAAACTGCAAGTTGAGTGGGACACAGGAGCTCGAGGAACACCAACTCTCATGTCGCTTCTGTCCTGCCATGAAGGATGCAAGGTGTGTACAGATGGCTAATCAGGTGAGCGGGCCTGTTGAGCAGAAGGACTGACGCCCTGGCATCAGGAGAGGTTCCCAAGTGGGTTGTGTTTAGCATATCTGAACATGTCGAGGCGGTGAGGGGGTACCTACAATTTCATATTGCAGAGGGAAGAGTCTCTAGTATGAAACTGGAGTTAGATCTCCAGCATTCAGTCACCTTCTGAAAAACAGGATGGCAACACACAAATGGAGGGGCTGTAAGGCATCCCAGCACTGAGTCCGCTCTTGTCTCAGAAAAATACATCATATTCTTTGCATGAACTGTCTGAATCCAAATACTGGAGCATGGGCTGGGTTGTTGCTGATATTTGTATCGAGGAGGCTATTCTGAAAGATCTCATCTTCTAAATATCTAGAGACCTCCTTCTAACTTCCAGTCTTAACTTGCTCAAGGCCAATGTACATCCTTTTCCCATGTTTCCCTTTATTTTAAGTTGTTCTTTTTTTCTGGATTTTAATTTCTAACCTGCTTAAAAGAATACACTTTGTCCACGTCTTGCTTTCTTAAGCTAAAGCTGGAGAAGCTCTGCTGTCCACCTTTCTCTTGCTCCTCCAAGCAGCTTTTCCCTGCACCTGACTCAGTTCAGGCACAGGAAGTTCCAGATGAGATTTTTTTCAAGAATGTACAAAGATACCAATATTCCATCTATCAATCAGAAATTACTAGAAGGAATGTGAAAAGTATTTTTATAAATACAGTAAAGGCAACACTGTTACCTTGATGGAGATAAAAATATCACAGCAGGTGAAAGAGCACTTAACAACCTGGGAGGTCTTTGAACTTAATTCTTTTCCCCTAAGATTCTGTATCTTCTATTGACAAATTATTCATGAATATTTTCAAGTCAACCCTTTTTACATGATATAAGGGATGTTACAGTGGCAGCAAGATGGATGTGTTAAATTCCATATATTGTTAAATATAAAACACGCAAGTTCTGGATAAACTCTATTCCTAATTTTACTGTTACATCTCTGTTGCAGCTAGTGGACTACAGATGCACAAATAAAGACAGAACAGGCTCAGTGGCTCCCATCACACTTACTGAAATTTGTATTGTGCGATTTAGAGTGTAACCCAATGTTCCACTCAGCTTAGGTATCAACCTTGAACTTCACTTAGATGTCAGTTATCCCTAAGTGGCATTTTTGATCTGGTAGAAACAGTGGGTCCTGACATGGAGATCACAGCCCTAGATCTCTGCTGTAACTCCAGTACCAGCACTTCCACTTCACCAAGCCAGTAATTAATTTGGTCCATGATTTAAGGTACAAACTGATACCTTCAGTCTTCATTTTACATATTGATTGCTATGTCTACCCGGTGTCTTACAGGAGCTGCACAGTGCAAGAACGTGCAAAGAAAATCTGAACAATACTTCCTCTCCTTTCCTACCAGCTAGTCAATTTGGAGAATGTATGTGGGGAGAGCACTCGGTTCTGGGTAATACAAATTCTCAGAACATTTTTACTCTTTGAAGAAGCTTAGGATACTAAATTGCATTAAGAAGTGAGTAACAATCTGGTGATGGATTTTATCTGAGGAAAAAAAATCAGGCCAGATTTAATGACCTTATCGATGAATAGAGGTCTGTAATCTTCAGTGGCATTTTACCCCATTCACAGTAGACGACTGAGCCTGAAATATTTTACTAAAAGGAAAATTCAGCTTTTCTGTGTACTCATTTATTACTTACCAAGAAAGTAAATAGACTTTTATTTTTGTATGTAAATCTACACTTTTTGTATAGCAAATAAAAATACTTTGATTGAATAAAGTCCTTATAATTTCACCAACCAATCTATTTTTCTCATCTCTTGGTTAAACAAGAAAACGGAATTTTAACATTCCATTAAAATTACTGTAAGGCAACGAGGTACTTTCAAAAATTTGTAAAATTCTGAGTACAGACACAGTGCCAAAACTAATTTTAATATACCTAACTGCAGTGATTTTTGGTCATCTACAAGTCAGAAAAATCTATATGTAATTTGGGTGATTTTATCAGAATTCTTGAAAGAGAATCCATCATCAGTTAAAGACAAATGAAAGGGGTTTTTATTTAGAGACAGGAAGTGACTAAAGGTCTTAGAGGGAAACAGGAAGGGAGTTCCAGATAGCCTGAGCAAGTCAAATTAACAAGTGAGAGGAAAATACAGCTCTCCAGTACCGAAACTGTACTGCAAAACACCCTTTCCTTCAGCTCTTTAGAAAAATTCTTGTATGAAGATTGTCAACAAGTAGGAGGACTTTGCAGTACTGCGCAAGTTGATTTACAAACTTAGTTTTCATGAGGTGTTTTCATATAGCGAACTTAGGAAGAAAAGCATTCAGCACGTGAAAGAGAAACAGCAGTGTGTTTCCAAATTTCCACAGCAGTGCTGGCAATGGCTATGTACTGGTTGGATTGTTTTCTGTCCACTGTGACCTTCTGCTTGATCTGACACAGAAGTAATATGATATCCCAGCATATTGTAGACTAGGAAAATAATTGTGATGGGACAAATGCAGTATTACCACTTCACGGTGGGATCAAACAGAAAAAAACCTATTTGATCTCAGATGGCAATTTAAAAAGATGAAGTTAAAATTGCAAGGATGGTTGGATTTCTGTCCCTCCTTCTAAGCTCAAAGTACAGTCATCCAGGTTTCAGGCATCGTGTCTTTATCTCTGGAAGGATAAAGCTCTGTGATTCTTTTTTGTTCAGATTATGCCTGTGCTGCAGTGCCTTGGGCATCAAGCATATTTACTAGCAGGTTTGTCTTCATTTGAACGTCTGCTGTACTTCTTTTCAAGATCAGTGGTGGGATATTGTGACAAAATCATTGCTTGGTTTAGTAATACAAACGCAGCATATGGAGGGAAAAAGTGCTAAAGCAATAGTACAGAGGGATTACCATCTCTTGATGGTAACTGAGTCGGGTTCAGCTTTGTCAGAATCTTCTGTGGGGCCTGCCTTTCAGCCTGGTCCTCTGCAATAAACTTCTTCTCAACACTAGCTTTTTAAACCTTTTATGTTTTAGTGTTCCACGCACTTCCTGTTCTGGAATTGTTTCTAACTTCCCATAGGCTGACAGATGGAGCCAATTTTTCCACTTTTTTTTTTATGCCCCCAACATCATCCTGATAAATCAGAACAGCCTATTTCTACAGTAATTGTCCTAATAACCATGTCAACATACAGTATTCTGATTCAGATCTGTCACAAAACATTCTTTAAAACTTCTTTCCACCAGCCAGGCAGGTGCTGAGCCAGTCTGTCTGCATAAATGAGAGTGCTTTAAGGACAGCTCTAAATTACAGCAACTGCCACAAGTAAAAAATTGCTGTTAGCTGTAGCTTTAAATTCCTACATCCACATAATTTCTTCCTAGGCCACAACTTGGTCCGTTTAAGCTTGACTCGAACCACAGCTGATGCATAACATTAAAAACTATGTTACCACAGTGAGCAAGAATATATTTGCTGACCATTAAAATATACCAGCATTTGAAGTGAATCGAAGCAAAGACAATGCTCTCCAGCAAAGGAGACTGTGACATGAAAAATTCACCTCACTAAAACTGCACAGGAATCTACTGTTAGTTGGATTTTGATCTGACTACTCTTTTCCTTGCAAAGAACTATTAGGTCTTAAAAGACAATACACAGTTAAGATGTCAATTTTACATCTTATGGATGTATAGGACTATAAGCAGTGGGGTCCTTCCACACCCAAAGAAGACATTGTTTACACTGAAGAGAGACAAGACTTCTGTGCAAAAATCTCAAACATTTCCTGTAGCACTTCCATGTTTCTGGATAACCTCCTGTTTAAATCCTGACCCTTAAGATCAAGTTTAGATCTCAGCATCCCTAAATCTGTACCCATGGACATGTCTGAATTTAAACTTTTAAGCCTTAATACTTGTTTTTTCATGGTTTTATTTTAGTTCTGCTCTGTTTTATGTGAACATCCCACACACTGTAATTAAAAGTAATGAACAAGCAATGTTTGTTCCCTGTGTGTTTGACGGTTCAATGGAGGGAAGAAAATCCACTGATGCCCAGTTCCGACATATATGCAACGTTCGGTTCCCAAGGAGTGAAGAAAGGAGGACATACTCATTACATTGCAAATTACAGCACAGACAGAACAGTTCCACAAGTGTAGTTTTAGAGCAGAAAGAGAATTGGGATGGCATGTTCCAGGCTCAGTATCTAACTTCTCTCTCATGCAGGGTTGCTCAACCTCTGAGTTCTTAACTTGCAATGTACAAGTGACCAAGCTGAATTAGCTGAACAGACCAATGGAGGGAAGTATGTTCCCTGTGTATTCAGGAGAAGATGCAGGTGGCAAGAGCTGATCTGGAAGCTCCTCCATTTTGATTCCAGATGCTGAGCTAGTGAT